CTGCTGAACAGAAAGAAGCATTATGTGCTGAGATTGCAGACAAAGAGCAGCAGCCAGCTTCAGCACCTTCGTCAGGCAAAACAATCAGAGGCAGTCAAGGCAAACAGCTGAGAGAAGGTGTGTGCTCTTGTCACCGAGGGACTTTGGAAGAAGAGAGAGTTGACCTTTTAATGTATCACTAAGTCTTTATATCATTGCAGAAAGCCACCTTTATGCTCATAACAGCAACGTGTCACAAATGTTTATTCTATTTCAGTCTGGGACTGTTTTTATTTAGAGTTCTGTGATGCTATTATTGTAACAAGACCCTTAATTAAATCAGTTGTTGCTTTAATCAAAACTGACTCCAGTTCTTCTAAATAAAACAAAAAGGAAGCCGTGGCAATTTTAAATTTTCTTATTTTTCTAAGTTATCTGCATGTCTCTGCTCTTGTCCTCCAGAGTCCCCTTTACTGATGCACTGAGGGACACCTCATCAGCTCTTCTGAAGACCTCTGCACCTGTCTCTGGGTCTGCGGTTGCTGCTGCTTGGTGTGATTTATGTGGGGTTACAGTAAGTGCACATTCAAAGCATCCTGATTCATTATTCAGCCCTTTGGCCAGATGTAGCAGGAGAACAGCTGCTCTACCTGACATCAGTCAGTGTGGTGGTCAGGAATCATCATCTACCTGCCGGTACCCCGTCTGCTCTGTATTTATTAGGAAATGCCCAACTGGTAACCAGAATCAGTGGATTTTTAGTTCAACCAGCAGATCAGGAACCCAGAAATATGATATTGCACAATTCTTCATCCCTGAATGCACAGTAGTTGAGCTCCAATTCCTGTTATCACAGCATGGGACAGCAGTGGCTCAGGAGGTAGAGCGGGTTATCCAGTTCATAATGTTGCATGGCTGTGGCTACAGCTCATCATCAAAGCGTGTGAATGTGTGTGTGTGAATGGGTGAATGACTAATTGTGTTGTGAAGGGCCTTGGGGCGTTGTAGAACCCTATTGCACTATACAAACACAGGACATTTACCATAACATGTTTCATTTAGGATGATCACATTCTCTGCTCAAACGGGAAATCTAACAAGATTAAATGTGACTTCAAAGTAAACCAACATGGTGGAGGAGGAGCGCTGCACACCTCCATCACCTGGTTGTCTAATGGGCTAACTGTGACATTCAACAGGCAGCACGTGCATTTGTCCCCCCAAAAATGACCAAGACAATTAAACTAGCTTTAAAGCCTACATTTATGAGTGCAGGGATCCCAGCGTTCTCACGAGCAGACCAGAGCACTCGTAACACACCACACACGGTAGCATTATCTGATAAGATTGTCTTTCGAGCCGTTACTATAATTCTATGCATCCCTAAGATTGTCAGAAGGGGCGGGGCTGGTTAAAGTTAAGTTAAAGTTAAAGTCCCATTAGTTGTCACACACACAGGTGTGTGTGCGAAATTTGTTCTCCGCATTTGACCCATCCCCTGGGGGAGCGGTGAGCTGCAGACACAGCCGTGCTCGGTAACTATTTGGTGGTTTAACCCCCCCAATCCAACCCCTTAATGCTGAGTGTCAAGCAGGGAGGCATTGGGTCCCATTTTTTCAAAGTCTTTGGTATGACCCGACCAGGAATCGAACCCTGATCTCCCAGTCTCAGGACGGACACTCTATGGTCAACAGTTGGTATGATTATCCTGCAGCGTGAACCAGGTCTAAGGTTCGGTCTCCTCTCTGCTGCTTTAGTTGAAGAGAGTCTAATAAATGCTCAAACGCACAGATTATTCTGTCCAGGATTATAGCAACAGGTGGTCTTCAGATAACTTTTAAAGTAGTTTTAAAATATGAAGTTTTCTCTGTGAGAGTCAGAAGGGTTTCTTTACTTTCTAAAACTTCTAACATAAACTGTTTTCATCCTGTACTAGATTCTAACATCCCAGACACAATTCTGTCTGCAGAGACTAGCTTAGCTGTCATTGGAATATTTAGTCTTTAATAAACACACTGTGACACTTTACAATAAGAGTCCCTTGATAAACATTACTTAGTGCATTATTAAGCATTAATAAACAAAGGGTCCCTTGGGCTGCGTGGTGGTACAGTTGTTAGCACTGTTGCCTTGCAGCAAGAAGCTTACAGGTTCGAAACCCGACTGCATCCTTTCTGCGTGGAGCTGCGTGTTCTCCCCATGCATGCGTGATTTTCCTCCGGGTACTCCGGTTTTCCCCACAGATCACAACATGCCCTACAGGTTAACAATTGTACGTTGTTTTGGATAAAACAAATAAATAAACGTAAACTTGTTAACGTTACTGTTATTAACTATTAAGGGTCCTTAAGTATAGGAAAAAGGGCCAGAGGTGTGTGTCTATTAAGTAATGCATTAACTTGTATTGATGAAAATGTCCAGCTTTTCATCCAGGAGCAGGGATCGAATTATGGGGGACTTGGATATCCTGCACATCCAGGGGAGCCGGAAAAAAGTTTTCTACCTATATTATATCATTTATGGACTATTTTGAGCAGAGCGCACAGAGAGCGGCACAGCGCTGCGTTGTTGCGCAGCGATCCAGGCAGCTGCGTCCAGCGCACGGTCCATTCTCAAAGTGGCGCAACCAAAAAACTATAATTAGCACACGATCGTTCATGTCCGCTCATGTTCTCTACTTTCTGTCTCATCTGTGCCTGAAGCGCTCTGCCACTGCGGAGCTCATCACCTGTGCTGCGGTGATTCCACCTCACTGACGCAGCATCGAAATGCGCTCTCTGCTTTGCGGTCAGCAGATCCCTTTGATCTGCTCAAAGTAACTGATGAGGTGAAAAAGTAAGAATACAGGCAGTAGTTTTTCTGGAGAGTTTAGAGGAGATGCAGGAAGATGAGAGACAGACAGGACAGGAAAACAGTTAAATAAAAACAAGAAAACAAATCAAAATGCAGGTAGATTTATCTCCACTACACGTTTTTACCTGTATAAAACAATAAGTTGTACACATGTAATATTTATACATCTGATACAATTCACATCACCTTCAAAACTCAGTCTCACACCCAGGGCCGTTTCAAGACATTTTGGGGGCCAAGGCAAAATGCCCCTCCCTCCATAACTGGGCTCCCCAGAAGCCTCTGTGTAATTCATACCCTCTCCAGGAGTGTTAGTTATACAGTGTTTATAAAAACCCCTCAGACATTACTAACATGTTCTAATATTATCAGATGAAAAACTAAATTATCAGACATGCTGTCTCATCTGCTGCTTTTCTAAACTTGCAAAAAGCAACAAAACCATCTGAAAGCCACTATTTGTGGATTCTCTGAAAGTTTCCATGGTGTGTGGGACAACTTATTTTTTCATTGATCCTATCGTCTAATCTCACAGCTGAAACAAGTATCCTTAATAATCTGTGCACAGGAAGCGTACCGATGCTGAAGTAAAACAAAAGGTATAATAATTTATTATTAATAAAACCTTTTTGCAGCATTAAAGCAGAAAAATTAGATTTTGCAATAAATATGCTAAATATTCAAATATGAATTGTTTTAGAGCCCTTTAATTGGCAGAATCTGATATTAATTTAATTCTTACAAAAAATGGGTCCCAGCATGGTTTGTGTGGCGTTGCCATAGTGTAACGTCATAGGCACAGATCCCCTGTCCTCGTTTTTGGAAATGGAAATATGATCACCCTGTATTAAACAAACAGTCCACCCGGGCTTTTGCGCTGCACAGAGACGCTTCGCTGCCTATGACTCTGAACGTCTGTTGAGAGTCAGTCTCATGCAGACCGACCAATGAAGAGAGGGCCTCAAGTTAAGACCCTCTCCTCATTGGTCAGTCCACACGAGGTGGGTCAAAGGTTACCCTGAGCGGGTTACGTGATGTCAGACATTCAAGTATTGAGTATATTTACTGCATATTACAGTAAAATATTCTGTATGTGACCATATTATGGTGATCCTTGGGTCATGATGATGGGGGCCTTGAATATTGTTGCCCAGGGTACAACAAAGTGTTAATCTGGCCCTGTTTATAGGTTATGGTTTATCTCCCCCTCTGCTTAGTTCGTTCCCCATTTAGTTTATTGATGACACCTGTCTTCCCTCTAGACCTCACTCCTCACACCTGTCACCTGTTCCCCTGATTGCTTCCCTCTGTGTTTAAAAACCGTCTTGTCCCTCAGTGTTTGTTGGTCCATTGCATGTGTCAGCGTTGTTCTGTTCCCTCTCGAGTTTCTCCGAGTCTGTGCTCATGAGTGAGCTTTTGTTTGTTTTTGAGTGCATCCTCCTTTAAATAAAGGAATTATTTTCTTTAACCACTCCTGCCTTGGGTCCAAACCTCCTGCAGTCAACGTGACCTGATGAGTATGGCTTACAGCTTTTAAAAATCCCACATTAAAAATCTCAGACAATTAGAAAATTGTGAAAACATTTATATTTTCCTGCTTTCTTCCTGAAGTTCTTGTCTTTTCCAGTGTGCTGAACATTTCCTCATTTTTCTCCCTGTAGATTTTATCTGGAGTGACAGTGAAGAGGACAAACAGGTTCTCTGACCCTGAACGGTGTCACTCTCAAACCCACTGAGTCTCATTAATTCACAACCTTCCACTCTGGATTGAGTTACGGTCATCGGCAGGGCAGAATTTACTCAACAACCCCTCTTAGTAGCAGGAACCTGCTCTAGAAATGAGCTCTGCAGCGTTTCATCACACAAGCCCTTCAGCACTGTTGAAGATCAGTTTTTGCTGCTCTGATATTTTATTATTTATTACCACCATTAGTTAGCATAGTGAAACATCTGGGTTCACATATACCTGAAATCCTTATTATTATTATTTTTTTTACTTCAGTCAATAACTGTCTCAGCTCAGCTGTCCAAACGATGAATCTGAATTTGACACATCCAAAGAAGATCTGTGTGATGAGGACAAGATCAAAGGCTGCCAGAAGGAGGTGCAGGCCCTTTAAGAGCAGCAGAAAGGGGAGGGCTGTGCATCCATAAAAGATGAGTTTATCCGGTGGCCATGGTAAGACATGGTTAAAAGCTCCTGCACTCTAACGTGCACTCGTACCCATCATCACAGATAGGATGCTCTCAGAGACACATAATCAAACTGGACCAGAAGAAGAGCCGGGGCTTGAAGGGGCAGCAGTAGAAGAAAAGTGCATGGACAAGTTAGCAGACACTGAAGGATTAAAGAAGAGAAAGTGACGGTGCAGGTAGAGTCAACAGTTGCATCCAGGCGGAGAATGGGCAATTCCTCCTTCCCAGGCATGTCTCCTCTCTCTCCGTCCGTTCTGTAGTTGCAGGTATTTCTGACTTGAGTGCCTTTCTTTAACGTGCTGCCAAACTACTTCTGTTCATCTTTACCCTCTCTCTATAATTCAGTGTTTCATGTCCATTTGCTGCCTGTCTGCACGCTTTAGAGGTTTAAGCCAAAGTGACTCACAGCTAAAGTACAGCACTTCGTGGGGGTCTTTTGCAGCCGAGCACACTGCAGTGTATGAATATAAAAAATTGGGGCAGAGTCTAGCAGCATTCAGCTTCCATTTTCCCTCTTGGATTTAAACAAAGCGTGGTGAATGCTGAGTAATCAGTTTTTAAGTGCTGCAGTCCGTTTGAAATGCAGTGGAAGTGTCTTTGAAATGCCGTTTAGAGGTGATATCGAGTGGACTGATTATCTGTGAGCGGGGGTGTGAGTGCTGCTGGTGTGGGCTGTGTCTGGAGAGCTTGTTTACTGCCTGCGTTGGATGAAGACTGTGGATGTTCTGGCTCTCGGGGGCCGGCATCTGGGATGGCGTGAAAGAGAGCTATTGATGGATTTGTAGAAGCTGATGTTGGTCAGGCAGGAAGAGACGGCTGAATCTTAATGCTGTGGTTTGAAAACACACAAGTCTCCTTTTGCAGGCGGCAGCAAAGCTGAAAAGGACATTTATATGGGAAAAATTTGGCTCAGTTTCATTTTGTATTGGGGTGGGGGAACCAGTTTTAGGAGGTTCTATACAAAATCAATCACACAAGCTCAAATCAAACAGGATGTTTAGATTCATTCCAACTGTAATGTCCAAAATAGACGTAATATGTTTTATCTGCTACCTGTCTGGTCAGCCCACTGGTAGAGCACATCTAAATAACAAATTTGGAAAACAAATTAGCTTCAAACATTTTTTTCATGCCTCTTAACAACATTCTAACATAGTATATCTATAAATATATTGTAGATAAAAAAAACTGTAAATTTCATTAAATGGTACTCTTGCAATTGTCTGAAAACAACTGTCAATAACACGTTTTGGACCAAAAGCAACTATTGGGCCATCCTGTAGTCGATCTCGCCAAATGGCTGCACTCCCCTGGGTCCTCTATTCGTTACAAACTCACTTAACCCTCCCACTGTCTTCATGGGTGACCCCGCAAAGAAAGTTGACCACTGAGCAGGATTGATGGTTTATCCCTTGAGGTCCACGTGGCAGGGGTGAGGTGGTGCTCACTCCTCACCCCTGCCATGTGGACCTCAAGGGATAAACCATCAATCCTGCTCAATGGTCAACTTTCTTTGCGGGGTCACCCATGAAGACAGTGGGAGGGTTATTTAGCAACAGAACACCGCTAGTGTGAGAGGTTCTCTGCTCAATAATATCAGAGGAGGAGAAACAGCTGAATGCTACCACTTAGGACAAACTACCAGAATCCAGAAAAAGAAAAACGCCATTTGAAGTCACGGACAACAAAAGACATTTGAACTGAGGAAAAACAGCAACATGTTTAGCGCTTTCTCGTTTCCTCTTGCACCGAAGGTTTCTGGTCCCGGCAGAAGCGTCTCAAGGAAGATACCCGAGGGGAGGGGTGAGTGTTTCGTGACAGTGTTTGTGTTCAAAACCCAGATTGTTCTGTAGATTTGTTATAACAGCTTTAACTCCCTACATCTCATCGAAGTGTTAAATGAACTGGTAACACTTTATGACGAGGGTCATTATTAAGTATGATTAAACAAAGGGTCCCTTTATTAACATTCCTGATAATGTTAATTCTGAAGTGCCCTTAAGGTTAGGCTGAGGGGAGGGGGTCTGTTTACTAATGCATTACTTAATATTAACTTTAATTAGTAAAAATAGCTTATTAATGATTGATAATGAACTAAATGACAGTATTACATTGTATAACAATTAACTAATTTTCTACCAATTATTATTTTATAACGATTTACATTAAACTAAAGCTTCTTCCTCCAAATCAATTTTCCTTGCTTTTTTCTTGATGTGGACGCTAAAGGGATAAAACAGACGGACTCATGTTTCTGTTGCTTCAGTTCATTGAGGTTTGTTGACACCCAACTTTCTGAAGGTCCAACCAATTTATCTAACTCAGGTTCAGGTCTGGACTTTTCCTGGACCGTTGTTGCACCTTGATTCTTTTAATTTTTTTTAATTAGGATTTCTGTTTTAAATGTGCTGCTGTGTTTGGGATCATTGTTCTGACAGACGGTCCAGCATTATACTAGAAACTGTCAGCTTTCAGAGGAGATCGTGGTGGACTCATTCAGGTCCTGTGGCCACAGAATCAGCCCAAACCGTCAGCCCCCTGCCACCGTGCTGACAGCTGTTGGTGCTACTCTGCAGTTATGTGTTCTCCAAATAAAAAGTTGTGATGTTTGTTCAGCCCTCTTGTTTGGGCTTGAAGCTCCGCTGGATCTCTTGCGCTTTTTCTGTCTGAGCTCCACAACTCAGCAACTCTAGATACTTTAAATCTGAGACCATGGTTTTTTGCTGGAAAAGGATGTACTTGGCTCTCTGGGTAAGGGTGATGTCACCAAGTGTTTCTAGGTTTTGCTCACGATTGAAGGAAAGAGGGAGCAGGAGATTGTTGAACCACTCTGTTGTGGATGGTTTGGACTTCCACTGAGACCCATATTGTGAAATAGAAGGCACAGGGACTGAGCTGAAGTATTTTTCATACAGGACTGGATTTCACTAATCTGAAGTTGGGATTTTCTTCAAGTTGCATTTTCTGTAAAGAATGAAACAGAATCTTTGAGCTCGTCTGGGTTTATCATTGCCTGCAGCTAAAAGGTAAGTCCATGATTGAGGGTGTACGTGCACATGTGTGTGCATTTGTGTGTAATCACTGATTGCTGTTGGCATCAACCCCATTTAAGATGGCTGCTACAGATATTGAGCTAAAATGTGTCAGTAGCAGAGGATCGTTTACGTCAGCCCCTGATCACAACAAATACATCTATCGTTCTCTTGATCTTGAGACAGTGGTCCATGCCTTTATTACGGTGTGATTGGACTACTGCAACTCTGTTCTATTCGGTGTGAGCTAGGGCTCAATAGCCAGGTTGCAAATGGTCCAGAATGCTGCTGCCAGATTTTTAGAGGGCAGGCGCAAGTTTGACCACATAACTCCTGTCCTGGCTGAGCTTCACTGGCTGCCCGTTGATGTTAGGATTCATTTTAAAATACTTTTACTAGTTTTTAAAACGTTAAATGGTTTAGCCCCTCCTTACTTGGTGTCACTACTTCAACCTTACACCCCTTCACGGTCACTCCGCTCGGAGAACTTCATGCTCCTCTCGGTCCCAAGAACGCGCCTAAAGACGCGTGGTGATAGGGCTTTTGCTGTGGCAGGTCCTAAGCTTTGGAATAAGATTCCTCTCAGCATAAGGGCTTCCACCTCTGTTGCGGTTTTTAAGGCAAGGCTAAAAACATATTTTTATGACCTGTCTTTTAACCTTTCTAACTAGTTTTATTGTTTTACTTATAGCGATTTTACTCACTGCAGTTTTATCTGTATCATGTGATACAATGTTTTATTTTCTGGACTAACTGTTTTATGTTTTTATTTGATCAGTGTAGCACCTTGGTGGCATCTTTTTGCCTGTAAGGCGCGATTTATAAATAAAGTTGAGTTGAGTTGAGCTAAAATGTGTCAGTAGCAGAGAATCGTTTACGTCAGCCCCTGAGTGGTAACAGATCACAACAAATACATCTATCGTTCAACAGTGTAAGATGGTAAAAGTCAGTGAAATGTGGAGGGTGGTATTATTTTCTTTAAAATAATGATAGGACTTTAATGAACTTAACAAAATGCATTTTAATACATTTTCTATATGGCTGCTAACCGTTCAAGCCTCAATAACCTCTCAGAAAATGATCAAATTATTTGATTGGCTAGGTGGAAGTGTTCTGGAGATGCCTTCACTGATGCAGAGTGTTTTTAACTGGCTTGTAAAATCTTCCACACAAAGACACTTATCTTTGTGATTTAAGCGTAATTATAATGCACGAGCTTCTGGAGATGCTGCTGCTGATTGTAGGCAGGCGGAGACCAAAGTGGAGGGTAGACACTATCTTCAATCAGCATCGATTTACACGATACCCTCCTCTCACTCCTTGCACTCTGCATAAATCTGAGTTAACTCGAATGTCTTTGAAACGTTGGGAAATGCGGTGTAAAATATCTTTAAAATTCTGAATTGTAGATATTAGACTGGCCACATTCAAAATTCTGCCTCACTCAGAGGATTGGGTTTGATGTGAGCGCTTAGAAACAGCAGCACCCGCGAACATTCAGCCACATCTTTTTGTGCTCTGACTGTGCGAGTCATGTCATCTGTTTGACATGGCAGCCCCCCACCCACCCTCGCCAGGGGTGTTTGAGAGGAGTAGGCGGGAAACAAATAAAGCTTTCACAAATCACGAGTGACTGGGAATCAGAAAAAATGTGAGGAGGCCAGGTAAATTATGTGTCAGAGGATTGATGCGCAGCAGCAGGTTTCCAGTGTAGACCTGATCTGACTTGTTGACACGTAGAAGGAGATAAAGAGATGAAGGGCAGAGAGAGGAACAGGCAGATGAGGCTGACTTTAAAGGACTGATTAATGCTGTTACTGTCAGGTGGGGATGAGCTGACTTTAACACAGACTAATGGAGATCTGTTCTCTACAGATGCTTGTTGTTTAACCCTCTCAGGCTCAAAATAAGTTTTGATTAAAGGACGAACAACTAAGTCCTTCAGGGGTACTTCTGAGTTAAAAAATACTCATGAAATACGTACGTGGAGTAATCAGGTAGGTAGGTTTTAACGTTGCAAATCTGCAACGCCTGCCTCCAGAGGGTTAAATCAAGAAGTGGTTTTAAACTCTTGATGTAGCATTCTTCAACTTTTAGGTAAGTACTTTTTTGTCAGCCTTGGATGCTGCAGCTGTGATTCTCAAAGATATTATCAGACAATAACAGAGAAAATACCATAAAGTAACAACATTTAAT